GTATCACCTGTCTCCATGTATCTGTGACAGACCTTCTTATTCCAGTTAGGTACTCCAAGTGTTTGTAGGTATGTAAATTAACTTTCCAAATTCTTTTTGTTATGCCTCTACAACAGTGCAAATATAAAACTATATTTTGTAACACAATGGTTAAAATATATAAAACAATGATAAGAAGAACTGTCCTATTTACCTCGAAAATATGGCGTACGGAGCAAATTTGGCATTTGGTACAAGCAAATTTCGAGAAATTAGAGAATTAGGGGGGGGGGGGGGGGGGGGGGGGGGGGGGGGGGGGGACCACAGGCTGTCAGCTGAAAGTTGACTATATCAACCATTTAGAGTGAATGTTTCTATACAAATACAGTGTAATCCTAATATTGTGTGTCTCGACTCCTAATGCTATAAGAATTGGGGTTGGGAGGGGGAGTGGGAGGTAGGAGGATAGTCTAACTGTCCCAACACTTGGTCTGCCTTAGTGCATCGAATGTCAGTTTCTCCGTAAAATTTACCATCTTCAGTGAATGTTGTTTTAAGGTATTTAAATGCAGATGCCTGTTTAATATATGTATGCTCTAATGATATATTTACATTCTGCTTTTTTCTTCCTATTGACATTATTTCTGTCTTTTCGATGTTGATTCTCATATTATTTGATTTACATTTTTCATTTATAGATGTGATATGTTTTTTGTAAATTCATGGCTGTGTCTGCAATCAAGGCCTGGTCATCAGCAAGGAGCAATTCGGTGATGCTACTATATATTAATAAAGTAAAAGAAAATTTATTGATCGGCACTTATAGAAGTAGAAAGATAGAAGAACACATTAGACAACATAAAAATCGAAAGCTATAGTTACCGTGCTTGAGAATCGAATCTGTCACCTCCAGACAGCGTGTGCGCCTCGCTATGGATACAAGTTCACTAAGAACATGGTCAACTAGGCACCACTGCTTTCGATTTTTATGTTCTCTAGTGTGTTCTTCTATATTTCCACTTCTTTCTATGAGTGCCGATCAATACATTTTCTGTTACCTTATTAATATATAATATTGAACAGCCTCAAGGGTTCCTCCTCTGCTGGTTAATGGGATTGATGCTACTTTGTTTTTCGTTCCTGGGTTTGGCATCTTTGCTTATGCTGTCAATGTGTTGTTGTTCGTCCATCACGTGTGAAGAAGACCACTTTCATCCAAAGTGATAGCTGAATGAAAGTGACTTGCGCAAGGACTTGGATTTAAGTGAGGAAGAGTTGCGCAATTCGTCGACCTCACTCTCTCCCCTGTGTCCATCTTGATCCAATGGCAGGACAATGTCAAGACGATTGGAAATGGACCTAGGTGCAGTGGATGACCAAGGCGTCTTAAGTGTCCTGCCTTGCTCGAAGCTCTGCACAGAGCCTGCGGGTAAACGCCTTTTTATCCGTTGAACCAATAAGAGGTTTCATCCACACAATCCGCCGAGTCCAGTCTTTGCATGCAGGGTAGGCATATCCCTTTCACCAAGCTGCCAATGTAACTAACAAGTAGCAGAGGTTGAATAGACACATACCTGTCTTATTCCAGATGTTACTTTGAATGGTTTAGATGATCCCTGATTTATTATAACTACGCTTCTGAAAACTCTGTATAAGCTTTTGCAAACTTACTACTTCTCTATCTACTACTTTCCATAATTTTCGTTTATCAATCCTGTCGAAAGTGTTCTCCTGGGCTACAAATGCTACAGATAAGTTCTCAACATATTCGATGTTCTTTTCTATTAATTGTTTAAGTGCGAAGATTGCATTTGTGCAGCTTCTAATGAGATGTAAGGCTGCGTTGTGATAATGATAATTAAATACCTTTGGGAGAGCTTGTATGTTAATAGTTTTACTAAATAAGAACAAATAATCTTTAAAGCGATGGAGAAATGTTTAATGTGTTTAATTTCAGTCCCAGTGTTTCCTAAAAAACATGTATATACAATTGAAACAACCCGTCTATTGATCAATACAGCAAATATTCACAGGCACTTTTAACGTTCAAGCTTTGTGAATATTATCTAAATAAATGCGCACGCATTAGAGAAGAGTAGGTGGGTTGTTAGTTCTAGTGGTTATCACATGTCATTTGAGCCTGCCCTAGCCCGAAAACACAATGTTTTGGTTAGGTGGGGGACTAACACCCCATCTCCCATATATCTATATCTATATATATAGATGCTGTAGATCTTCGGTGGTATATTTGCAAGGTCTTCATCAGTGCTGTAAGGGGTTTCCTCATTATAACTCCTTGGAGGGTGAAGGGGCTGTCTGGACTCTGTCTAGTTGATCTTTCACCCAGACTGAGATTATGTGCTGTCAGGTTTGATATTTAGAGGGAACAAACGATCAATGTGTATTTACACACTAGAGCAGGCAAATGACATTGCTACCAACATCAAATATTCTGTCATAATGCAGACATGTATCTCTCTCTCTCTCTCTCTCTCTCTCTCTCTCTCTATATATATATATATATATATATATATATATATATATATATATATATATGTATGTATATATATATATATATATATATATATATATATATATATATATATATATATATATGTATGTATGTATGTATTTATATATATATATCTATGTATATATATATATATATATATATCTATGTATATATATATATATATATATATATATATATATATATATATATATATATATATATATATATATATATAGAGAGAGAGAGAGAGAGAGAGAGAGAGAGAGAGAAACATGTCTGCATTATGACAGAATATTTGATGTTGGTAGCAATGTCATTTGCCTGCTCTAGTGTGTAAATACACATTGATCGTTTGTTCCCTCTAAATATCAAACCTGACACAGCACATAATCTCAGTCTGTGTGAAAGATCAACTAGACAGAGTCCAGACAGCCCTTTCACCCTCCAAGGAGTTATAATGAGGAAACCCCTTACAGCACTGATGAAGACCTTGCAAATATACCACCGAAGATCTACAGCACTGATATAGACGAAGAAAATATGCCACTGAAGATCTACAGCACTGATATAGACGAAACAAATATGCCACCGAAGATATACAGCACTGATATAGACGAAACAAATATACCACCGAAAATCTACAGCACTGATATAGACGAAAAATATGCCACTGAAGATATACAGCACTGATATAGATGAAACAAATATGCCACCAAAGATCTACAGCACTGATATAGACTAAACAAATATACCACCGAAGATCTACAGCACTGATATAGACGAAACAAATATGCGACTGAAGATATACAGCACTGATATAGACGAAAAAATATGCCACTGATGATATACAGCACTGATATAGACGAAACAAATATACCACCGAAGATCTACAGCACTGATATAGACGAAGCAAATATACCACCGAAGATCTACAGCACTTATATAGACGAAAAATATATGCCACTGAAGATATACAGCACTGATATAGACGAACAAAATATGCCACTAAAGATATAAAGCACTGATATAGACGAAACAAATATACCACTGAAGATCTACAGCACTGATATAGACGAAAAAAATATGCCACTAAAGATATACAGCACTGATATAGACGAAAAAAATATGCCACTGAAGATATAAAGCACTGATATAGACGAAAAAATATGTCACTGAAGATCTACAGCACTGATATAGACGAAACAAATATGCCACCGAAGATATACAGCACTGATATAGACGAAAAAAATATGCCACTGAAGATATAAAGCCATGACACACACACATGAGTAAACATTTTTTTTTAAAGTAAAGTATTTTAAAAAGTAAAGTATTCTTTTTCCCCGGCTCCGGAAATATAGAGTTAGACCTATATTCTATAGACCACTCGTCACTCGGTGGGTGATGTGGTCAATATCAACTTCCTAGAACTTCAGCTGGCACCCACTCAAGGCTGGATCGAACTGACAGCCAATTTCATTTTAAAACAGTCTGGTTCCGTTAGGACCGGAACCTACGACCTTCCGATCTGCATTCGAAAGTCTAGCCACTACACCACGGCGGTTTCCCCACAAAATTATGCTATTCATGAAATACAGCAACTATGTAGACCACACACATATGACACTCGTGATATACAGCACTGACGTAGAATACAGAAGTATGTCATGGAACAAATATCTTAACTTAGGAGAACAGAACAGGCATGCCACTAAAGATATACACCATTACAACTGGCAGACAGACATATCACTGAAGATAAGCATCAAGCCGACTGAGCGGCAGACATACAGTTGAAGATATTCATCACTAACGAAGATAAAATAGGCATATCATAAAGATACACAGCAGTGAAATGGACAGCTAAACAGTTTCATTGAAGACGGCTCAAAGCACTGAAGTCATAACATCTGAAGCGACAGGTGGAGTCACATTTCAGGAGATATACATCACTTGAATTCACAGAGGTGGCTGAAGAAGAGAACCCTTAAACTGCCGTTATACGGCTCTAATATTTATAGAAAAAGCATAATTTGTTTTCAACTTCAGAGGCAATGAATGAATAAACGAATGAACTAATTAATATATGAATGATTGAATGGATAAATGAATGCATAAATGAATGATGGAATGTATGATGAAATAAATGATAAAACAAACTGATATCACTTTACTTGGAACATTTGCAAACTTGATCCGCTCTCACCCAGTGAAAATTCAATACTGATTGTGTCAATTGCTACATGATTACAAGTTCGTCTGATGTTTCCATGTATTTATAGACACATGAAAATAGACATAAGAAGCTATTATCGTATTAACTGAAGATAAACCCTAATAAACCTTATTCACACTGTGAAAACGTTTCATATTCGGTGAAGCAATGTGTAATGTGCAATGTAAGTAATTTCACTTCCAATGAGCTTATATTTATTAGAAGAACTTCCACAACCATCGTGGATGGACGTGATGCACAATGCAAATATTCACTCGGTCAGCGGAAACGAAACTAAAATACAATAGAAGTATCACTTTCTGGCGTCCCTCTAGAGTTGATCTCTCTACTTAAATCAATTTCGCTGAAGTTAATGGGAGACCCAGTGGTTGCATCATAGTCATCTGAATCTGTTTCATCCACAATAACAACAGCACTGTCCCCCTCTGCAGGAAACTCAACCTTCCTGGGCCCTTCAATTAAATTACTGTGATCAAAAATGAGATACGTGGTTGCTTTCTGCTCTAGTACAGGGGAGCAAATCATTCTAGCATCATTGCTGTCGAAAGAAATGACACTGTCTTCGTCGCCATCAGAATTGCAATCGTGGTTTGTTTTATCAGGCGGTGGGTGGTAAGATGATCCCGAATAACTCCACTCTCTTGCTGAAGTAATGTCTTGTGGGTCCGGTACACTTAAAAATCTGTGTCTGCTGATGGCTGTAGACGCACGGACACCAGCTAATGTGGTTGTTTTATTACAACGATTATTACTGACGCGTAAGTTAACGTCACATATTTCTGAAGAATCTGGATGATCTACTTTATTAGAGTTACTGACAGGATGTAGTTCGTCACTGGAATCCCCTATTCCCAAAACCTCATGAATTCGGTGTTTCACTTTGGAGCAGCACTCATCCATGTCTGTCTCATCAAAGACGCAGGCATTCTTAAAATTACTGACAAGTGTGAAAACCAGATCAATTTCCAAAGGCACAGAAGATCGACAATGTTTTCCAAGAATACCATTCACATTTAGTTCCCCTGTCGACCAAGAGCGATTTCCAACAATCAGCGGAGCAAGCTTCTTTTTGACACGAGTAGTTTTAACAGACAAGCTGTCCGATGAGGCTGTATGAGTTTCTGGTACAAACTTGTGCATGTAATCTTTCAATGTTACACACCCTTTGCTTAGGCTGTTTATTGTATCTGGAAACGTCTTTGGCAACTGCTGTTTGTGATGTCTGATATACACAACGGGAATTTTTTTAGCCAGTGCAATGCATAAGTCATGAAAGCATGAGGCATCTTCAAGTGTGGCATTATTAAATAAATACACGCATACATCAGACTCTGCTACAATATATTGCCGCTTTGTATCCTTACGTACATCGGGCTGTGATTGATGTCTGACATTTGTCACTCTTATATAGAAATCCTCATCCAGCATATCCAGAACTCCAAAGTGCAGAAGCCTATCAGTAGAAACGTTATCCATGTAGCTACACCGACTGATTAAGTGAACCCGAGGGGTTCTTGCGTGGCGAGCAGAAATGAGGAAACTTGGAGCAGGTGAGTTGATAGACTCTGTAACTGATATCTGGGGTATCCCAGTTACTGCTGAAGAAAAGACAATGATTTGTTATCGTTTAAGAACTTCCCTTTGCACGATCATGCATAAACACACAAATGGAACTAAATGTATATTAACTCTTTATGACGCCTGAAGCCTTTACTTCCCAAGAAATTTCCTGGTATCTGTGTACAGCTTTGTCGACATAGGAAGTATATGAAGCTATAGTTCAGGCGACCGGCAGAGAGACTTAGCCAAGTCTAGCTGTATCGGGCAGGGGTGTGAACACATTCAAACAACTGGAGGGTAATTAGGGTACACAGCCCTATTTTAAATTTTCTACTGAAAAAACATTGGGAGCTCAAGTGGTATATGTCTTGTTTGAGTGTTTAACAATAAGAATTAGTAATAATAATAAATAATTATTTTTGCAATTTGTCGAATAACAAAATATATCATATTTGAAATTATATATATATCATATATATATATAAGAACAATATCTTTTTTGCAAATGCATGTTTGCACATGATTTGGCTCCGGGAGACATGGAAAGCATTGCCCTCCTACAAATTGTTTTTTCTTTTGGGGGAAAAGGAGAGTGGGGGGGGGGGGGAATCAGTGTGTGAAGGAGAATCAGTGTGTGAGGAAGAATCAGTGTGTGAAGGCGAATCGGTGTACAAATCACCCGATTCCGTCACCTCTGGCGGTACAGTGAGGCTTTCTAGAATTTTGATCTCTTTGAATTAGTAAATTGTGTTAATAATAAGTAAATCTTATTTAGAGAAACTTCACTTCAGGGGTATATATATAGCTGGGTGGCTGCCACGTTTTGTTGTGGTTTATAGCTAGGCTGCAATATCTACGCATTTTTCCCGTTCGATTTTAGGGTTTACAGCTAGCCTGCGATGGCGGCGACTTGATGCTCAATGTTCATGTCACGGGTAATATTCTTTCGCCCTTGGGAGGGCAGGTGGCACGTTGTGTTGTTGTCTACAGCTAGGCTGCGATATCTGACCTAAAGTCTCCGCTGGGTGCTAATTTTTCTTTTTTCTCTTAAAGGTCGATTGGCACGTTGTTTTGTGGTTTACCGCTAAGCTGCGACATCTGCGCCTTACGCCCAAAGACATCCGATTTCAGTACAGTCCAAATTAGCCTCCCCCCGACACTTCACTCGATCAACAACTATTCTTTGATGGCAGAAACTGGTAACTAAGAAGGCTTACGGTCCAGTTTAATTTGGGTCGACACAGATGCCAAGGTTAGTTAAACATCGTCCCTTCAAAGAGGGAGATATAACGAGTGCGGGTTTTTATTTCCGCTATTTGTGAGTATAGTGTACTTTTTTTTTTTTTTTTAATCACGGAATTTTATGTCGGGGACACACTTAAACTAAACAGTCCGTGGCGACAGCATGCGGCACCAACTCCTCTGGCTTCAACGACCTGTACAGACAGTAGTGACCGTTTTGTGTATTTGTTGTGAATGTGGTGGTTGTAGTGGTAGGGTTCCATCACTGGTTAGGTGATGGAGTTTTTTTTTTTTCTTTCTTTTTCTTTGTTGGGAGCTCAATTACGCTAAACAGTCCGTGGCAACAGCATGCGGCGCTACCTCCTCTGGCTATACCGACCTGCACAGACAGTAGTAACTGTTTTTTGTTTTTGTTCTGTAGGTGGTGATGGCAGTGGTAGTGATAGCAGTAGTACTGGTACTGGATGGGCGAAGTGGTAGCGGTTACACTGGCCACATTTACTTCTCAGTACACATTAATGCTATCCATTTGTCTCTGGGTGGACACGGATGCAAAGCTCAATTTAGTACAATATTTCGCCAGATGATGACTTTCCCATTTTTCGGCGATATGATTAGTGGGGGGGGGGTATGGGGGGGGGGGGGGGTTCATTCCAGACACTGTTAACTGAGAGAGCTTAAAACATTATTTTAAAGTTATCATTTCTTAACTATTTCTATTTTAACAATTTCGCCAAGCTATGATTTTTTATTCCTTCGGAGTGGGAAATATTATTGGGGGGGGGGGGGTAGGGGTGGGGGGGGGGTATGCGAGACACTGTTAGCTAAGCGAGCTCAAAACATTATTTTCAAGTTCTCATTTCTCAACTATTTCTATTTTACTACTTTCGCCACGGATGAATTTTTTATCCTTCGGAGGGAGAAATGACTGGGTGGAGGGGAGAGGGAAGGGGGTGAGTTTTATGACAGACACTGTTAGTTGAGAGCTACTTTCTTTCTTTTCCATTTCACCATTCGGGGCCACAGCAACGCGTGGCAGGGCACAGCTAGTGCCTTATACGTCTGAAGGCGTGGGAACGGGTCCTTTATTTTACTTTATTTGTGTGTGTGTGTGTGTGTGTGTGTGTGTGTGTGTGTGTGGAACTTGTGGAATTCTAAATATAATTTTTGAAACGAAATCCTAGCCCTCTATTTCTATTATAATGCTACTAATACTCTTCTAAGCTAAATATAACTGATTTCAAATCGGTAATGTCTGAATAGATTCCCACACGTTACAATAATTTCTAATAACCTCCAAGCAGTCGTTAATCGGTGCAGGGGTCGCCTAAGACCATCGGAAGACACATAGTCACTGAAGTTAGGAAGAAGCAACTAAACAAATTGTATGGTTGGGGGTCACCAGAACATGAGGGACTGTTTTAAAGGGTGGCGGCATTAGGAAAGTTGAGAATAACTGAGCTAGTGTATTCAATCTAAGTCGATGCGAACACTTCGCTTCGTAATGCCAGGATGCCAGGTTCGATCCCAGCTGCGGGCAATGCGCCTTGCGTTGGTTTCGACAGTGGTATCAAGAAAGCCGACCGTCCAGGAAGCAATAACAAACTACTGGACGTAAATTTGCCTAGAGAAACCACACAACAGCCAGGGGCTGTTAGGGTTGGTTCTGCAACGTCCTCTAGAGGATACGCAACAACCTTAGAACCTTAGTGTATTCAATGGAGAAAAAAAGCAAAACAGGATACTGTAAAATCATTTGGAGAACTTGGTCACAACAAGAAAAATGTGACGATAGCTTCGGAGCTAAATTTGATACATAACAATGGGTAGGGTGGTTTGGTTTGGTTGGCTGATTGTCTTTGTTTCAGTGAGATAAAACAGACAGAGACAGATGATGCAATAATACAATGAGGCCATTGCCCAGATGTACCTTTACCGCTGCTGTCCTTCCTTTGCAGTTTGCGAGTGGTGTCTGCCTCTCTCTTATGTCGAATGACTTCCCTTTGCTTCACACCAGCTGAATGATCTCCCTGTAATAAAGACTGGATAAATTCCCTTAAATGATCCATAGATTTATCCTGGATAAGGTTTGGATAAATCTGGAGAAGCTGTATACATTTTGATATGATATGTTCGTTGCTACGAATCCAGCTGACTGCAGTGTGGTAGCTGTACCAGAAAATTGCAGCATCGGTGGAAATTGTACTGTCTGTGTGGTGAATATTTGGAAGTTTCCTACGTCGTCGAGGCTTTTGACTTCCGCCCTGGTAGTTCGCCATATTTGAATAACACGCACGATAGGCGTAGCTTTGATTTTAAAGTATTAATTAATCAAATGTCAAAATCCTAATTATTATGATAACATTTAATGTATTGCCTTTGCATACGGAAAAAGAGACATCTTATTTTGAAACATACATCGTTTTAATGTGCAACGTAGAGCTAACTAGACGTATAAAATAATAGAAACATTATCACGTGCTCTAAATATGATTAAATATATTTCGGTATCAATAACGCTATCCGTATAATTAATTTTTTTTTAGTAGAAAACTGTGTACATTAAACTAAAGGCACACCGGTCTGAGTTAGTTCTGATTTGAAAACGGCATAGACCACATTATAACAAAGACTGCCAATTTATATTTATAAATATAGGGCTAGCATAATATACAGAATTCTCAGCAAGGTATGGAAGGGTTCTTTCTCTTTAACATACCAATATTTCAAACTTGTAACGGCACAACATCTATCTACTTCCATTAGAAAAGGCGCCCACTTTATGAAATACACATTTTGCATTTCAGACTACACTGCGCAACATGCTCGACCATGTATGAGAACAATAAGGATAACTGCAGCTGCGCTAGTATTACAAAATGAATTCACTGAACAATAAACAAGGTAGCTCAACGAACCGTTTTTATCACCAAAACAAGAAAAGCCATCCTAGACACCGGAACCTTCACAGTGAATTCACTTGGAATACTTTCTACTTAAACACGCTGTTTTAAAAACATGCAGCCACTTTATGCAAGAACCGATCTGCAACTTACTGCCTTTGACTTATCAAATGCTCTAACGTATTTTAATCGTGCTATAGACACTTACACGAAACTACACAGCACAACATCCTCTACCCACAAACTGTTTCAACCAGACGCTTTTTTAAAGAAAGAACAAATCCTAAATCTGTGTAAATATCTTCGGCTGCACAGGGCGCAGCATTCCCCTATCTAATGTACAAGGCTTATTTATTTTCAGAAAATGGGTTTCCATACTTGCATGTGGTGTATGTGTGTACGTGTGAGTGTGTGTTAGGTGTGGTTGTGTGTGAGTGTGTGCATATGGTTGGGGGGGTGGTGGTTATCTGCCTTGCTAGTATGGATCCTGTGTTACAGGCAGTCCCACACAATCATTATAATCACGAATCATGTAGTTATCTTTTCTGTTGATGAAGACGTCACTAAGCCGCCCAACTATTTATTTCTGCTCTCTTCACATCCATTTCGCCAGGTATTGTGCCGTAGCTTTTCTTCTTTTTGCAGTGATCACACTGGTCTGGTTACCATACCCATTGTCTCCCTAGTGTGAACTGTTGCCGATCTCGTGAAGTTTCAGATCACTACCAGCAACTTTCCGTCGGCTACTCTCAAGTTGAATCCAACCCTAGTCATGGTTTACATTACCCTTATAACGAAGACATAACAGGGTTGAATGGTTTGAGGTTTGAACAACAGATTAACATCATGGCACACGGGTAGTAAAGCATACGTGTTCCGTTCTTCTTCTTACTCAAGTCTGAGTCCGAAGAAGCTCAGCACAGTGCACAGGCTCTGTAGCACCGGCGAGGATCCTGAAATACTTTGGGTTTATTTTTAACTCCAAATTTTGCCCGGGCAGCGCCTTTAGGCTATTTTCGATTTCCAACTGCCAAGGGATTTTTTTAAGTGCTTGGCAATACACACGGGCGTCCGATATATCTCCAAACAGAGACCAGGGGGAATTACTAGAAGTCCAATTCCACGTAAAAAAAATTCCAGCCCTTACTGGGGATTGAACCCGGAAACTCTAGCACTCGAGGCGGATACCATACCTCGAGACTACTTGTATGGTCTGAACAGGTAGTCCAAAAACAGATACTCCACCAATCTCAAGGGCAGGGTTATTCAGATAAGTTTACTCAGGGGAAAAATTTTTCAAAATAGAGATGGTCGCAGTCCAGAGGCACGAGTCGCATCAAAGAACGATCATTATTGTAACACAACTGGCAGTGATCTGTTTGCCACTTGCTAGTCCTCTGAGGATCACATTTGGCCCTCGGGCCCCCAGTTGAGTAGCCCTGCTCGAAGGTGTCACATAGATAGGGGTAAGAGGACGACACCTTACGTCATTTCTGACGGAGTCTATCTAAAAACTGTAATCATTACCTATACAAGCTATTTTAATAGTTAAATTGTTTTTATTTAAAAAGAGAAGCTTCGGTAGACGCCTGCACATATGCACACACTATATAAAACTGGTCGACTTCAGATTCGCATATATATATATATATATATATATATAGTAAAGTAAATATCCATTTTCACGCCTCTAGGCGCATTAGGCATATAGGGAAAGCACCCATATTTTACAGACCATTCGGCACTAGGTGGGTAATGTGGTGAGCATTACGCCGGCTGTCTTTACTTCCCCAGGACATAGATCATGGTACCTATTTTAGACTCGGTCGACCTACGACACCCCATACCACAATAAAAATCTCCGCAGCCATCAGTGGGTTTCAATCACGCCTAAGCCACGGACGCAGCTTTATAAATTGCGACACGTTTCGATAGTTGCACATGTATACATAGGTATGTCGAGTGGTTCAACGCTGCATTAAGCAAATTAAGTAGAGGACCCTTTTCACGTCAGTGGTGTATCCGGATATGATCTTCTTGTTCGTTTCCTCTATCACAGGGTTCTGTTTCTTTTTTTTTTTTTTTTTTCTGGCCGCTCTGACCATAGACACTGATGCTATCTGTCCATGTTGTTCTTCGTCTACCTCGTGTTCTACGTTCTTCTTTTCTTTTCATGTATGCTTATATGGAATGGCATTGTTTCATTGCATTTTTTGAAGCGATAATATATCCACTGCCGTCTTGCAAGGTCTGTCGCAACTTCACTACAGCCTTTTGACTAGGACGTATCATGGAGACCCAGGATGATCATCAGGGCTATCGTAGCTACCCGTGGCACACAGGCCACACCATACTGTCCCCAATCTAGCAGTCACCTACTTAGTCCTTGACTCTGCATATACCAATATAGATCAGTCAATGTGTGATGCTGACAACATAAAGACGGACGTTTTCATTTGCCAATAATACTTGGTGGCGCCCATTTCAGAAAGGTTTGACATGGAAACTTCACTCATAAAACCCCGTGTTATCTTACAATATAAGGCACACGCCAAAAGAGGAGAATGACGTAGAACACAAGGTAGACCATAAACAAGATGAAAAGATAAAATCAGAGAAACTCTACAACATCACGATATGTCTATGGTCGCGGCCAGAAAAAAAAAAAAAAGAGGCAGAATCTTATATCTCCCTCGGCATCTAGGCGATACAAGAGGAAATGAAATAGACTAAGCAACACGTGTTCTACCTATATACACTCTTTCAAATACTCAATTTATTAAAGACAGTTTTCATTACTATTATACACATGTACTTAAACATATCAAACTGTGCACACTGTTTATGTTATGTATCTGTGATACCAAAATATATTGTCACTTTATGTAAAATAAGTTTCAGCAATAGCACAAACAAATACCAGCGATGAACTCTTATACACAAAGCCCTCTACATATAACGTTCTTGCAAACTAGAAAACAGACTAAGTTGATCAATGGAGCAGTTGCGATACTTGTCCATGCACGCCGGCCGCTTTTCTGTTCTCATGGCCCGTGATGCCACCAGTGCTGGTACACATAGTGCATAAATCGATACATTCAGCGCACAGTCGCAAAGTCCATGAATTGCCTGGACGTGGACGGTACCCTCGGCTGAGTGTCGTCCGACTCATTATCTTGATCAAGCAATATTACGAAATAGCAGTAGTGAAATAAACGGGCACGTTCATTGGCGCATCGGAAATATCGTGCCAGAACCATATTTATAAAGCAATCCATATTCAGTAGGTGATGGGTCAACATCACACCTGTCGCCTTTACTTCCCTGCAGTTGTACTGGTACAGATTTGAGGATAGCATGGAAGCACAGATTATTTATAAATCCGCCATGATGGGGATTTGAACTCAAGACCGTCGAACTAACAGACACCAGACGTCCAAAAAGTAATTGACAGCTTTATCTTGTTACAGGTGGCGTAATAGCAAGACTTTCGTTAGGCGGTCCGAAGGTTCTGGATTCAAATCCGCACCATAAGAATTCGGAGAGAAATAGTATTGTGGTTACCAGGTAAACCCAGGATAAATGGATACAATGAAATATTAAAAGTGAACGAAGTTAACAATTACTATGTAATAATAGAACTGAAAATAGATAATATTTAAATAATCAACACAGTATTGTGTACTAACCATGCATGCGAAAGCCTGGCCTCTCATGATGTCACAAACATGCTATTGTGGTAAAACGATAAACACAATGTTTGTCTCGTTTCGCTTGCTGACTTCAGTATAGTGTTTTAAATGCATACATGTTGTGATTGTTCCCAGCCATATTATTTACTGTTGTTTACACCTTTCTGTATCAACAAAGTATTCTATGGTAGCTGACCTGCTTTTGACACCAGAGAGAGGAAACGGGGTAAATCTAAGGTCATTAGCTTACACTGGGGATTTTTCAGCCTTGGTTCTTTTTAAGATATTGTATGGGCGTGTAATAAATGAAATATGATGCATTTTATCTTCATCATCACCGTGAAGCAAGTTATTGCACCGTTTCGCCAAAGCCTCTGGCTTAGTGCATCAAATGTCAACAAGCATTTGTGTCTGATTTATTTTGCAAACCCTTTCACTGTTTCCACTCTAACCACTAGGAGCAGGATTGGGCATCTCTTTGTAAAAATAGGAAAATAGATAGATAAAAGACCATTTTCACGCCAGCGGTGCATAGCAAGTGTGATGCTTGCCTCATGTTTTTAAAGACCTTCGTCTTCTACTCCTCCTTCTTCTCGCTATAATCCTTGGCAGAAAAGTTCAGATATTGCACCCTAGTATAAACCATATAATAATATGCTAACCTCTCTACTAATGGCGAAGGCAGGCGAAGAAAGTCGAGATGATGCACATTTTCATAGTCGAGTATATTAGCATATGTGACTTTGTTGGATATAACTGGTAATTCCAACGCACCGTGATGAAAGCCATTGCTGGGGGCGTGGATTTTTATCATCGTATAGGGCGTCGCAGCCTAAAATGGATACCAGGATGTATGTCCTAGGGAAGTAAAGACGGCTGGTGTAATGCTGACCACATTACCCTCCTAGTGCCAATTGGTCTCTAGAAATATGGAAGCTCTTCTCATATGCCCGATGCGCCTAAAGGCGTGAAAGGGGATCATTACTTTGCTTTTACTATTAAACCAGTGGTTGATGATAATGTTAAGCTATTTATAACTGTTATGTGTTCATAATAGGAGCGGCTGGCCGGACAGTTAGTACGCTGGTCTCTCAAGCGGGAGACGTAGGTTCTAATCCTCGGTAAGGCTCAGGATTTTTTTCTGCCAGGGGCGAAATACAATCCAGCCCTGCACAATCGCGGCGACAGCACCAGCCATGCTGCCGTAAATCCTCAGGCTGAAAGACCCCCTTGCCTACACAGCAAAAAGTGGTATCATAAAGGCAGTAATTGGCATGTATCCATTATCTTTGCTCTGTTTAGGGTTTGCTTGTCTTGCTTGGCAGCAAAACCACAAATTTTTGCGGACGATTATATCTAAACTAGGGCAATTGTCACACTAACTCGGCTACGTCAGCTGTTGCCCGGCATTTGTTTTCGACTAACACACATACACACAAAATGTTTCATGAAACAGAACTTGATCCAGTGAAGTTATTACTCAGTGACGGATTCTGTATCAATTTTTTGGGTAGAAATTTCAGTTTTTATGTGTCGTTGTGGTGTGGCGGCTAAACGCTCTCGGACCGACTTAAAGTTAAAATCATCATTAAAAGATTTTTGAATGACCTTGGTTCCCAGGTCGATACCAGATAAAGTCATTGGAAGTAAATGATGCCGGGGTTATGTTGGCTTCATCAGCTACTAAGTTGTGAATTGTCAATAAAATATAGGTCTAGAGCTACATACCAGCCGAGGGGCCGTGGTGTAGCGGCTAGACGCTGGCCAGTGGATTCAAAGGTCGTAGGTTCAAACCAGAACAGACCGGACCTTATCTTAAACAATGACCAGGTAAAGTCTGGAAAGTAAAGTCCGCCACTGTGGTGTCAACAACAGAGTGCAAATTGGTCTATAAATTATAGATCTTGTACTATATGGCATTTTGAAAGAGCTCCTTTATTTGTAGTTACCAAATATGTCTGCTTGTCTGGTTCGAATATCATCGATCGATCAGTTTGTCTCCTCTGAGATGCTACCAAAGGGTTTACCATAAGATCTTCAGATTACAACAACAACAAAACATAAAATTGGACTAGACAAACATGGCATATCCCAGATACCTTGTTCAACCTCTGAAGCAGGTATAATAAGTGCAACAGAAACAGTTACACCTGCCAGCTGTAATCGTTAGTCCCAAACAGGTAAATACGGCCACAAAACTCATCGTAAGAAAAGTAAAGGGGTCTTTTCCACTTCTTTATGCGTATTGGGAATATAGGGCTAGACCTTGTTTTTTCCAGAACAATCAGCACTTGATGGGTGACGTAATCAGCATCTTGGTCAGTGTCGTGGCAGCCTTTACTTCCCATGACTGCACCTGGTGCCCACTCAACGCTGGGTCGATTTGGGAGTCAAAGATCATTTTTTTTTAAAATGTCTGGTCCCGTCAAAACGCGAACCCACGATCTTCCGATCCGCAGCTAGCGGCCAATGACACGGCCACTCCCGTGGTGAAGATTTTATTTTACTGGTCCGTCGATAATTTTAAAGATTTACAACAATATCTTGTGGGAGGTAAAGGCGGCGCGTGTAATATTGTGTATAGTGACGACTCGTTAATAAGCAAAACTATATGAGCCTAGCAGGAAATGTACAGTGTACCTGATTGCGAAGTAAACGTATATTTACTTACAGTAGCTCTAGCATTTACAAGATTTTTGAGAAGTCCAAAGCATAAATAGCTCATTGGCGCCGAAACAGATCAGGCTTTCGGGATGGGAAATTTTTTTTTAGGGGGGGTGGGGGGGGTGGGGGGGGGGGAGGGTTGAGTGTGCTCAACCCCTTTAATTTTCTAGGATCTGTGGAGATGCTCAAGCCTTTATAGTTATGCTGTATTAATAAATAGCAGTAATATATATATATATATATATATATATATATATATATATATATATATATATATATATATATATATATATATATATTTCAATTAAATAAGTAACAAGGCCTAAATCATTTAAGCCGACGAAAAAAAAAATATGTGGGGAAAAGGATGGGGAACGGGTGTAAAATAATAAAATGAAATGTATAAACACATGCTTAAAAAAGATAACGTCTATATATGGTATGGGGAAAGGGGGGGGGGGGGGGGGGGGGGGTAAAGTGCCAGAATTCCAAGGTTCCAAAGCCTAGGTTTCAAGTATATTTAAATATTTATTTGTCATTCAACACATTTTTATTATTATTATTATTATTATTATTATTATTATTATTATTACTATTGTTATTAACATGCTAGAATCTCAACAAATGTTTAAATGTGGCCTCTTAGTCGCTTTACAAAATTATTTAGGGTGGGGAAAGGAGTGGGCTAAAGGATCCGAACCACTAGGTTCCAGTGCCTAGGAAATAGATCAGTAAATTGATAGACTAAAGATCCAGACAGACAGACAGACAGATAAATACAGACGGGCATACTAAAAATACAGATAGACAGAAAGACTAAAGATACAGACAAAAGACAGTCATCAGCCGCATTATTGCCCTGTTCCTCTACTACACATATTTGCATCCGCTGCATGTGTCAAGTTTAGAGAATGATTGATAGCTCGCGTGAAAACTTGTATTAACACTTCCAGTTTCATAACATCCCAGTCTTTGCCAAAAGGAATAAATGGTTCGAATGCGATTATGACAATGTAGCCGTCGTGGTGTAGCGGGTAGACGCTCAACGTGGATCCGAAGGAAATGTTTCCCCCTTCCACAATGACACTGTCACAGGTCGAACGTGTTTTAAATAGGTACCAGATAAAGGAAACAGTTGGGGAAAAAAATAGGTTCCCTTTATTTACGCCCTTATTAAGCGTATTGGGCAAATAGAACTAGACCTATATTTGTATAGTCCAATCGGCACAAGATAGGTGATGTAGTCAGCGTCACGCCCAATGCCTTTACTTCCCGCGACTGCAAAAGAAGTCCTGTTTCCGCCAGTGAGCAAACCCATGGCCCCGTGATCCGCAAGCCACGGCGTCTCCCCCAAGTAGACGTGATGGACAGTAATGACGGCCGGCTTGATGCTAACCACAACACTGACCGGGTACCGTTTGGTCTATGAAATATGGTCTATATAAGTCTATAGATAGCTCTATATGCTAAGTATAACAGAAGTTGGACAAATGGTCCTGTGCGATTGTGAAAAATAAAATCAAGCCGTGACAATTACAGAGGCTAGATGTAAAGTGAAAACAGGTGCCATTAGAAAGAAAACATTACCGGGATGGGGGACCTAATCTGTTAACATTAACATTTTATGGAGGAGTGGGAACACTCAAAAGCCTACTGTTGTTTATAGGTGAATAGAATATCAATATAATAAAATATTTGAAATAATGTATAACATGTAACAAATAGAACGTTCTATACTTGGTCCTCACCCGCATGGTTGCACATTGTGTCATCTGGTGTTTATCGCTTGTGTGATGTCCTGGTGGTGTAGAAAGTCAGTCAGTCAGTCATCTCTCTACTTCATTCTATCTTCCTATTTGTTTTTCTATCTCTATACTAATTTATATGAGTGCCGATGAATACATTGTCTGTTTATTATATATACTTCTTTCTATGAGTGCCAATCAGTTGTTATATTTTATTTTAAATTTATGGTACAAATAGCGCATTTATAAGTATAGTGCCAGAACCTATTCCAGTCCAGTATTTTAGTTTACCAAGCTGTAAAAGATGGCGGACATAGAGTTCGGTCTGCCGACCTGGCAGGCTGTGTTGTTATGTTTGATGTTTGCTGGCTTGTATGTAGGCAGTCTGTATGTCTGGGGTAAATCGACAAGGGAGAAAAATAGGTATCTACTGCAAGCTATATTTAAGTTTTTTTTAAAACTATAATGCAGTCCTAATTGTGATGTGTTACTATGACCAAAGTGAAAGTCAATCCAAAGCAGTAAAAAAAAAAAAAAAAAAATTAAAACTAATTTAAAATTTACCTTTACTCAGGATGCTAGTAAAAGTTTTATGTATTGGGTTTTTACTTATGAAACTATCACAGCTAGATAGAGACTAAAATTACAAATCTAACGATACCCCAGTGAAGCCTGTAAGTCTATTATTCTGTTAGTGGCATATACTACTACAGACAAGACAACACAAATTGAACATAGTGAGTGTAGTGTAGTGTAATATGACAAACATAACATAGATTCAGGGCTTGTTTCGATGAAATGACAAAATGTTTGAATTTTGTGGCAATAACTGTTTTGTTTCTTATGAATCCTTCAACACCTATACATTTTTTGAATTGGGACAGCGAGTTGAGCGAGACCTAATTGACCTAACTATATGAATTAATCAGATCATTCGATTGTATTTGTATGTTCATCACAGGTAGTGTAGTGATCACTACCACTCTTTCTTTCATCCGTCATGAAACTGCAGTTAAATGTTTGTGAGTCCGGAGGTGACTTATAAGTCCAATACAAGCTTGAAAGTCTAGAACAATGAGGTCAGGGGACAGCTCTGTAGATGAGTGGCCTGTTTTTCAGTTCTTTCTGACCTGCCTTCACTGTTTAGATGCTCTTGTTTTAGCTGCCCCTAAATTTATCAGATACATACTGCAGTGAAGTTGATACTGGTGACAACATGGCAGATATAGATAATCTATTTGAAGTGAACAAAAGAAGAAGATACATGCTGACAGAATCAGACACTATAATTCCTCTGGTAACTATTTTCTGCTATCCATTTCAGAGCAGCAATGATTGCCTCCATTTCCATCCTCAAACTTGAAATGTACATAAAAAGGAGGAGAAAATAAAAGCACCATTTTGTTCAGCCGTGATCTGTCTCTTCACTCTTAACTGAAAATCTCCAGCCAGATCTTTCACCTCCCATGAACAGAACCATTAGTGAACACTACTGCATCATCTAGCCACGTTTTGTTTATTAATTGTTACACCTCTAATTCGGTTATCCTCCGAATAACGGCCATATATTATGGCGACCAAAAACACACCTTGACAGGGCCTCACTAGGTCGTGTGTTGTAAAAATTTAAAACCTTAAACTCGAAAATGAAAAACGGAAAAAAAAAAGAAAATGACGAAATCGACTACTTAGCGATAACTAAGGCCTTTATATTTGAAAATTGTGGCACAGAAGTTGCAAATAGTGCCCGGAAATCTGCTCTTTGTGACTGTCACTCTATTGAAACTTGGCTAAATATGACCGGAACTAGGTGGGGCTAGTGCAGCATCGATAACACAGTTTTCACCGCCGACAGTATTCCCCACACCAGTGGTGGGGGGGGGGGGGGTTTGGGGGGGCTAAACTAGATGGCTGGGACTCACAAGCAAACAAATTGGAGGAAGTTACAGGAGATGCGGTAGCTGCCGCTCATGAATCCCAGCCATCTAGTTTAGCCCCTCCCCCATCCGCACTGCATGTAGCGGCGCGGGGGATATGCTCGACGGCAAGTTTAGTAGGAAGAACACTATCGCTAACCTGCGTCGGAGTGGGTGGTCTCCCCACCATGTCGCTATTGTCATGTATATTGTTCCGTTTCCCGAAATTGTCAGTGAACAGTAATCCTAGTTTTATCGTGATGTGTTCATCAGAGGAAGTCTGCAATTTACATGTGTTTGAGGCCCTTTCAGGGTGTGTTTTTGGGCGCCATAATATGTGGCCGTTATTCGGAGGATAGCCCTCTAATTCTGCTGTACCACCACTCTCTACATTCTCTTCCCAATATGATAATGACCTGATGGAAACTGCTGTTTGTGTATTCCTTTTGACCCATTCATGCTGCCTCTGTATTTGCCTGACTGAGACCGCCAGCCCAATGGTATCTTTAGCTATAGCCATCTATGACTTTCCTCTTTTCAACCAAACATGTTGTAGCACATCATACTTCTGTTTAACATATGTTAATAGCAGCACACTGTGTATAAAAAATCATTAATTTTAACATTGCGATTTCTGTCTAATGCAGAGATCATCCTGATGTTATCAAGAAAAGATTTATTAGTGTCTCAATCGTTTGCCTCATTGTACCAATCATTTTGTGGTCAGTTTCCAAGAAGTCAGAAAAAGCTGAGGTAAAGTATAATTCATTGTTAAGTCATTTTTAACTGATACATTTTGAAAATAAATTTACATATATATATATAAATGTATATGAAATTATGTACATGCTTTGGAAAGGAGACTTTGTGGTTAAGACCTTTGCTTCCCAAAGTGTTTGCTAATGTAACAGGTTAAATTCATGGTTTGTTTAGTTATGAACAAAAATTATGCTAGAGCCCATTAAATTCATCTTTCCCATTAAAGTATATGTTAATCTTTAATTTTGTTTTAATGTTCTCATGCTTTGACACTCATTTGAAGGATGGCCTGGGCTGAGACCTCTGAAAGCAGCAGTTACAACAGGTGTTTTCGAATCCTACGATTCGACAGAATTAAAACATCATCTTTAGCTGTGCTAACTGTTCAGTCAGTAAAATAAATAGGGGGTTTCTCAGGATAGAGTAAAAGAGGCAAGGCTGTTTGTGATTTACATAAGAGACATTCTCACCAGCATGTCTCCAACAGCCTACCTGAATGAGAGCTATCTACAACCAATGCTCGACGATGACTTTGCTATTTAAATAGCCATTGGAAACATCACAACAGCGCTCATTGATGACTTTGCTGTTTAGAGGGTGACTTTGCTGTTTAGAGGGCCACTGGACATCACAACAGCTTCCTGTCCACTTCTAAATTCAGTGGAAAAAGTAGAGAACTGGGCAAAGAATTGTGGTCTAAAACTTTCTTTGACCTTTTTGTTTTTCCAGATAATACTCTTATTCTATGTTAAGAGAGGCAAAGGAATAACAGCCAGTTAAGGCCAGGGATGAAATATACTATCTCCAAAGCACAAAACCTAGGCATTATTTTAGAGACCAGGTGGTGTCTAATACGTGTGTGTCAAGTCTCCCTACACACTTGTACAGGACCAGGGAGACAACCAACACACACACTTGTCAAACTGTCTAGGGTTAGTTTAATGGTGTCAGTATTCACAAGCCATATCTCCCGCCCAAAAGTAACAAATAACTCTGATCGCAGGTCTACATCAAAGACTAAACACTGTATTCAGACATCGACATGATGTAATTTCTTGCATTACGACACAATAAAACAGTCATTCTGCTTTCTGCCCATGCCAGCATTTAGGATGCTGCACTGAAGGACTCCTCCTGCCACAACTATATTCTGGGGGTTGCTACAGACTATCATAACCTAATCAGGTTTAGTCAACAGATCAACATCATGGCACAAGGGTAGTAACGCATAAGTGCCCTATTCGACTTCTGACTGAAGCCTGAGTCCGATAATCTCAGCGCAGTGCACAAACTCCGAGGCATCGGCGAGAATCCTGAAATACTTTAGGTAGATTTTTTACTTTAAATTTTGCCCTGGCAGCACCATTAGGCTACTCTTTTTCAATTTCCAACTGCAAAGGGATTTTTTTATGTTCGCAACAGTCCACATGATCTTGTTACCCATAGACCAGGGGAAAATACAAGTAGTCCACGTGAAAAAGTCCCAACCTTCACGGGGGCATGAACCCAGGACCTCCAGCACTCGAGGCAAACGCCATGCATCCAGACCACACAGCCCCATACTTAGATTTAATGAACTTGAATCCACCCTTATGTGATTCACGGGACCATTTCTCGAACGACTCATATCTTGGAGATGCTGCCACTAAAGAACATGCAGGCCGATGCACAATATCTTGTGAAGAACTATCCATACCTCTTTTCTTTGGCCTTTCACCTTACTTCAAAATATCACTAATACCTCACATAATAAAACCCATTATGCTGGTAATTTGTTTCCTTGTTACTGCTGCAACTCCCACAATCATGAACACTTGATTTAGTCACCCAGCATGACACATAGCTGCATAAGTCTAGCCTTGCAAGGCCCAAAATAAAACCTATGCTCACACACGTCAACAGAGCTGCCTGGTAATTCCCTACAGTGGCACACTCAGTAACATCATCGGCTCTCAGGGACTAGTGACAGTATGTCCTTCCTCTCCGATGTCTTGGAGTCAACTCCCCCTGACTTCGGGGAGTGAACTGACTCTAATGTCATCCCACAGCTTACCACCTCCACTTGTCCCTTATGCTTAGCATGAAGACTATGGTTCACATTAATTCATGAACTCCTCATAGTTTCCTGCCATTGCACGGCTATACTGGTCCTTGACCGTGTGATCCCTGCAATTTGGTCTGCCGTCCAATTTATGTATTACCTTTTTAAGATTTTATCTGAATTCCAAGGGACATAAGTATATATATATATATATACGCACACACACTCACACACATACAAGGACAATACTACTAAGGGATGTAACCCTCTATATATCCATATATTGCTCACAGCATTGCTCATGCAGCATGTCCCCTTGCCTGGCCTGCCTTGTTTACTCAAAAGGAAAGGTGATACTAATACTTGTGGAACAAAGCATGCTGTAGAGGCTTCGATTCAGTACAATGTTCTGTCTGGCCGCCTGTCGAAGCTTTCCTCATAGACAAACAGCCAACCAAGCTGTGGGTTCTGTCTGCCCCACTCTAACAGTTTTCAAATTGCACATCTGTCCATTGTCTATCATCCACTAGTTATCCTAATTAGGACCAAACTTTTTTGTTTTTTGAAGCTCAACCCTGGCTCTTGCCAGGGACCACAATATAGCCTGGCCGTAAATATGGCCAATTGGCTAAACGCTGTTTCTGGGACCTCTCCACAGTGATCCTCATCCACATGGTGCCACTCTGTGTCATCGGGTGTTTATCGCTTGCGTCATGTCCTGGTGGGGTAGAAAGTCAGTCAGATTGCACATCTATATGTCATAATACCCGTCTTTTTTAGGATGAAATTTTTCGTTATTTGAAGCCCTACTCTGGCTCTTACCAGGGGCCGCAATATATCCAGGCCATTGCTGAACGCGGTTTCTGGGACCTCTCCATGGTGATCTTCATCCACATGGTGGCACTTTGTGTCATTGGGTGTTTATCACTTGTGTGATGTCCTGGTAGGGTAGAAAGTCAGTCAGATTGCACATCGTAGGTCTTTTAACAGTAGTCGCTTCTCCTATGCACTTGTCTGTCCCACATCCATCCACAATACAGAATAAGTTTGGTTACGTCGTCAAACCTTTTTTTATAACAAAAACAATACTACTGACTACTGTTATATGGAAACTCAGCTAAACAGTATAACATTAAAACAAATAAAACTCACTGGAACAGTATATGTTCTCTCATCCACACAAAGACATAATATTCTTAATATCAGAAAATCAACCAAAATCATAAGATATACCCACTTGTTTTGGATGGTGAAATTAAGGTGGGGGATTTACACTGAAGTCAGTCTCACCTAGAAGCCAAACTCAGAAGATGAAAATAAAATCAAAAGTCATACAAAGACTCGTTATGATGAAAATAACAATTGGAACGAATAAAATGAGGAGTCAGCGAAAAAAAACACATGAAGGCTAGTCTACACTAGAAAAAATAATAAATGAACAGGTTTTCTCTGTTATTTTATTAATATATAATACTTAACGGCATTAAGGGTCCCCCCTCTATTTATGTGAATGACATATACACACCGGAACCTACCAATCAAATACCTTCCTTAAATGTTTTTGTATTCTAGACAAAGCTTTCAGTTCTACTGTGTTCGTAAATTATTGCTGTGCTCTTTATTCGACCTATGCTACGGTAATATAACTTTCTGTAAATTATGGTGCCATTTCACTGGTTTGAAATGAATTATGTCCGTATTTCATAGTTGTGGATTTCAAGCTGCATGATAGACATGGAAAATAAATCATCTTTTTTTTTTGGGGGTGCCTAGTTGACCATGTTCTTAGTGCCTTGTTTCTGTGGTGAGGCGCACACGCCGTCTGGAGGTGATAGGTTTGATTCCCGGCACGGTAACTATAGCTTTAGGTTTTCGTGTTGTCTAGTGTGTTCTTCTATCTTACTACCTCTTTCTATGAGTGCTGATCAATACATTTTCTGTTACTTTATTAATATACACTGGAACAAGTAAGCCTTTTATTAAATAGATGTCAATTTTATGGGCTGAAGCTGTGAAAATGAACTTGTTAAACCCATACAAGGTGTAAAAATAAGGGTTTGTGAATTACACATGGAGCAATAAAACGTATCCTAGTAGACAGTACAAATTCCCTACTTAGTTCGAAAAGCTTAAGAAGCTTCCAAATTATGCGCCGAACCATAGAATTGAAGATTAAACTATCTAGAAATTTTTTTTTTAAATTTGCAAGGGAGACTTTGACACAAGATGCAAGTATAAAAACTGACATAATGTGTGTGAGGCTCTCACACCAAAACTATGGATTAACAGTCCATTCTTGTCCAGCTCAGTTCTGGAAGTCCCAAGAATAATCTCCAAAAAGAACAGTCAAAACAATGAGCTTTTTTTCACTTTACAAACCCAGAAATCAATCTACCTCCAGTATTTGGACTCACATGTTTACAGACAGTTTTGGTAAAGAAGACATTAAAAAGAAAGTGGGAGAATCAATATTGCACACATCAGTTGCAGCCCACTCACTATCGGCATTGGAGCTTGCACCAACTTCATAACTAATTAAGCAATCCTCCTTTAAAAATTAGCAGACTCCCAGTAGTCCAGTTGAACTATATAAACAACTGTGCTGTTCGGATAGTGAATTAAGTCCTCCAAGCCATCTCACGCTCCAAACAGAACAGCATCATCTATGACATTTTTATTTTTATTCTTCTTCTTTCTTTCACTGGCTGTAAACTCTGGCGGAAAGTTCTGGTTGTTCATCCGCTTCTGGACTGCAGTCCTCCTATTCCAGAACCTGAGTGTTGCGTGTGCATCCGTTTGACAGATCTGACTAATTTGTATGCAGACTGGTGGTTCCTTGCCTCTCAGGCAGATGCACTCCGACTTCGAAGGAAGCTCCCAATGTGTCGACTCCTACAGCATGCTTTTGGGTAGACAGTGGGTCTATTCTTTTTTCCCCCTATAATAGGGCCCCGGAACCCACACATTAATTTTTATGTTTTAAAGATAAAATCATCAGAATACTGTCCACAAGAACAGATCTAGTTCAGCAGTGAATTCCAGCCTCTGTGGATGCCTAGAAATATAATGGTAGAGCTTATACAGGCTACAGGAAACCTCATGTAGTCCCACCTGTCTCCGAACTTAAAGCAATAATAGTTAACTGGAGAGAAGACTACAAATACTACAGACCAGAGCATGTTGTAAGGTCAAGAAAGAAAGACAATACACAACCAAAATGCCATTTTATCATTATTTTTATTTGACTACAGAAGGTATATTTCAAGGAATATTTCAAGAATAGATTCAAAAACTTGGTGACGGCTAGCAAAATTGATAAAAAGAGGACGGGGAAAGCAGAAAAATTGATTCCTTGATCGCTTGGCCACATGCATGTAGCTGGACAATAGCACTGCTTGATTTTTAATTGTGTGGATTGTGTAGGATGGCGAATGTTGATACTTTTTGGCATGGTTCATGATGATGTATGGGGGGCTGGGTGATTTTTTTTAAAAAACTGGTAAGGGGGCGGTGGGCCAAACAAGTTTAGGAAACACTGGGCTAGGCGCTTGTCTGTGGATCAGAAGGCCATAGGTTTTTTCATAGACTTTTGTTTCTAAAAAAGACCTTGCCTCCCATGTCGACCCAACCTGAATCGGTATCAGCTGGAGTCCCCGGAAGTAAAAGTGGCGGGCATCATGTTGACCACATAAACCCACAAGTACCAATTGGTCTATAAAATATAGGTCCAGCCCTAGATGCATAGTACACCTAAAGGTGTGGAAAGGTTACCTTTACTTGTTTTGGGGGTTCTCGGCCTTATTTGGGGGGGGGGGGGGGGGGGGGGGGGGGGGGGGGGGCAGATCCACTGCCCCCTTGACAAGCATATACAACTATTTAAGGGTTTGCTCAAATCGGATGTGTTAGACTGAAAGGCTCAAATATCACAGCCTCGCTGTAGACCACCACACAAAGTGCCAACATCACTTTCTTATCCCAAGCAAAAGTAGCATTTCACATGATAGAAAATTTTTTTTTTTTTTTTAAATATCTTTGTTAACTGGGGCATTGTGTTTTTATAAGCTTTATAATAGAGGTAATCCTGATATAAGGAAATAAATCATGTTCATTAGATTCATGGGAAAGTTTTTGTACTTGCAGTAAATGTCTCTTTAATATAGTAATGCAATGATAAATATCGTCATTTAGTCAGTGACACACATATGCATGTATGCATGCATAAGTACATGCACACGCATACATTTTTACACAATGTGTACAGTGAATAATTTATATACATTTTATATCTCAGATTCACATGAAGCCGAATGCTAATTACCTTAGTTAATTTTATTTTCAGGCTAGTTGTCTGTTTGATTGGCTTGGTCTGCGGTTTTGGGGAATATTACCAGCTTTGGTTTTACCTTTGTTTTTAACCATGGTAAGTTCTATTTGATTGATATTTTCCTTGCATTTCACTGAAATTCTTAGATTTGTTGACTTTAGAATTGTCATAATAGCATTCAGAAACTCCCATAAGTGCTCTGTCCCTATCTTCAACAGCAAGTGAGGAGTTCCAGCTCCAGTAGCACCAGTAACTGTATGATTGTGTATCCCTCTAGCTATCGCTTGAGTGTTGAGCGTCAGCCAGATCCCCTGGTAACTCCTCGCAACGCCATTCTCCTCAGACCGTAATGATCTATTTGTGCTTCTGCACTGTTTTCTCGCTCCAAAAGGGTCCTCACATCATCTTGCTTGTCATACATCAGTTCTCCACCAAGTGGTGCAGTACTGGCCAGTCTATCTGCCTGCTTATTTCCTAACACACCGGCATAACCTGGAGAAAATATCAAAAAGATGCTAATTACTGGGACCTCTGAAATGATGCTTGCCACTTTGTATGGAGCATACCTGTCTCCACCTTTCTCAACATGCTCTGTAAGTCAGTTACAGTCACGGCATGTGTGTGCACCTGATTCTCCAGCCAGCGAAAGGTGCAGGAGGTGTTTCTTGTCTGCAGCTACTCTGAGATATGACTTTGCTTGCAAAACTTTGAGCCTTTCTGCAATAGTCTTCAGTGCAAGTATATATCACATACATCCTACCAGGGTATCTCTTGTATATCCCAGAATTACCCTCATTGCTTAATTATTTATGCGTTCAAGTTTTATCAGTTGACGCTTTGATATGGTAATCATTCCAAGACCATAATCTATCGCTGACTGGATCACATGCTGGAACATTGTGAACAGCATTCTGTGTTCCATGTCCATTGCTGCCATAATCTTGAGAGAAATTGATTCCTTTTGGCATTTCACCACATCTGCCTCCATATGATCCCTAAAGGACAGGCTTTTATCAAAAATGATACCCAGGTACCTTAGTTTGCTTTCTTTTTTGATGTTAATAATTGTGAGGCTTGGAATATTAGCTGTTACAATTCTGTTGTCCAGATAGCACTACCATTTCTGAGTTGATGACAGCACCCATTTCAGCACACCAGTCAGTCATCACTTTGCCTACCGTTGCCTGTAGCTCTTGGGCTATCTGTTGCCTATCAGTGCCCTGACTGCAAGAAGATCATCTGCAAAAATCAATATCCTTTCAACATCTGGTGCTTCAAGTTCTGCAATCTTGCTTCTAAACACATTGAAGAGCACTGGTAAAATTGCAGAACCCTGGGGTAGTCCCGGCGATATCATACAGTTCTGAGGTCCACGTACCAAGGCGTACAACTAAAAAGCTCTGCCATACAAGGAATCACACCTCTCACTTCCAGATGACCACAGCACCTTGCTGCAGGTCCAAGTATATGAAAATAAATGGCATTATATGTGGGTCAGTATGAGAAAACAATCATTCACAAGAGCACTTTTACTAAGACAGTTGATTTTATGGATAAACTAGATCACAGCATTACCCTCACAGCTATGGTGCACAGATAAACAGTATGATGATAAGAGAGGCTTTTTTAAAATTGACTGCCAACTGTAAGATAGAACCATGTGTTGCTGTTTGTTTTTTTTGTTTTTTTTCTTTTAGTATTCCTGAAGCCATGAGTTGTTAACCTTTAGGCTCAGTATTACGGATATCGCAACCTTTCGGCCTTGATTCCATTGTAAATACTGTAAATCTGAGAGAAATGTGGCTTTTTCTGCCTACCCCGGGAGTGAACCCAGACCACAAGGAGTTCGTCACCCGGTCAGCGCGCAATCCGGTTTAGCCAACTACGCTAGAGAACTGGGCTATAAGTTGCTGTTTAAAAATAAAAATACTGCCAACTGTATGGTAGAACCATGTGTTGTTGTTGTTTACTTTACTTACCACTTTTGCTGTGTGTGTATGTACGTGTGTTTGCTTGTTTGTTTTGTTTGTTTGGTGGGTGGAGGGGGGGGGGGGGTGGGTTGCTCTTTTTCTTAGGATTTATGGCTAGTGCTGTCACCACAGACTATGCAGGTTAGAATTTTATTTTTACCCCGGAGAGAAAAAAAATCCATGACCTTATCAGAGATTCAAATCTGGGTCTTCTGCAGGAGAGACTAGCATTCTTAACTGTTGGCCAGCCAAAGAGTTGGTATAAATTAGCATTTTTGTATTTCTGTTCTTTTGTTTTATGACGTTTCACATTAAAACTTGTTTAAAATTGCTTTCTTAACTGTTGGCCAGCCAAAGAGTTGGTATAAATTACCATTTTTGTATTTCTATTCTTTTGTTTTATGACGTTTCACATTATATCTCTTGTTTAAATTTGCTTTTGCAGGTCTTGTTTTTAGGGCCGCTATCGCTACATTATATGGATGGAGTGTTTAGATTGTATTTGGGTAAGTTATTACAATTACATAATATTTTGGTAAGTGTACAGTAAACTGATTTGAATGTTCAATATTGAAATAAGAATCATCATCACAGCACTCGGCATACTTCCATAAGCGCTCCATCCCCATCTTCAGCAGTAAGTTAAGAGTTCCCGTTCCGATGGCACCAGTAACTGTCTGATTGTATATCCATCTCGCCTGTCCCCTGAGTGTTAAGCATCAGCCAGATCCCCCCCGTAACCTCTTGCAGCGCATTCTCCGCCCGTAATAATCTTTTTGTGCCTTTGCAATGTTCATACGGTCCCAAAGTGCCCTCAGAACATCTAGCTTGTCATACATCAATTCACCATCAGGTGATGTAGAACCAGCCAGTCTGCCTGCCTGCTTGTTTCCTAAGATTTGAAATACTACCTGTGTTGGTACATGGATAGTGTCTACAGTAATCAGTAGTCTGTGGTGTAGCCCACACAAAAATCAAATTTTTATCTGATCTGCCCCATTTTGGTAAACAAAAATGGACCAACTGGCCGAAAGGCAACTAATTAGGCGTGAGCTGTTATCAGATGTGTTGGGCCGAAAGGCACAGATACCAGTCTAGCTGTAAACGCAACAGAATTGGCCAGCTGCCCTTTTAAGAGTGAATGTGCAAAGAGAAGTGTGTGATCAGTATTTCCTTGTGTTAAACATAATCTCATAACATTTTCTATATCTTGTTACTTATAGATACTTATTTGCATTGAAGTAAAGAACTCATTTCCACATCTTCAGGTATCCTGGGTCAATCTTTAAAGAAGATCAGCACTCTAATGGTGAGGTGGCTTGAACCACCCAATTGCCACTTTTGTTTTCTAGAACATTTTGTGTTCCCATTTTTTAATGCTCGGGCGAGTGGAAGCCTAAGTTTTAAAAGAGGTTAAGGTTTTAACCTCTACCCCCGCAGGAGTCCTTTTTGTGGATGTTTGGTGACATGAAACCCTTGGACAGTGTGGCAGCTAATCTTGTATAACACTCTTAGTACTACTTGTTCCAGTTACATAGTGGCCATGTTTATTTTTAAAAATAAATACATAAAAAAACAGATATTTTTATCACCCTAACAAATCAGAATACCAACTCATCTCAGAAGAACACAATTTTGCTCCTACCAGGGATGAAGTTTTTTTTTTAGTCCCCCGCTAGACATAATTTTTAAAAACTTGAATAGTTGATTTTTTCAATTTCTCTTAATTCATGATAATGAGGTTTTTTTGTATGTGTGGCAGAATAGGTTTTGTTGTTGTTGCCAATTTGACATTGTCCCAAAGTCGTAATGACCTCGTAGTGACCTCGTAATGTCATCGCAAAGCTTTTCATGTCTATGTTTACCAAACACTGTTTTCATGGTCTAAGTGAAGAAAGGCAGTTAATTCTTTGCTCTGTTTTTATTTAGTGATTAATTCCCTTTATGTAAAAGCATTAATACTTTAGTGCAAAAAAATGACTGGAACACAAATTGCATTTTTTTTAAATAGTGATTTGACAACCGTGAAGTCCCAGTGGTCAGCATGCTTGCCTGTTTGCATTCTGGTCCTACGTTTCAGCCCCTGTATGTTTTTTTAAACCGGTCAAAATTTTAGGTTTCTTTTTCTTCTCTTCCTCTAGTTTTTTTTTTTTTTTTTTTAGAGTCGAGTTTCCGAGATCTGTACAAATGCTTTACTTGATATTGAAATTTGTAAATTTAAAAAAAGCTATATCTTGTTAGATTCTTATGTGGAAAAAGTAAAATTTTGCCTCAATGGGACTTTGACCTTATGACCAATGAAATGGCCTGCAGGTGTGCAAACCGCTGGGCTACCTGGACCCTTCATATTTACATCTTTTTAAAAGTAGATGACAGATTATGTTCCAATTAAAAAAAAGGATAAACATATTTTATGAATTATTCACTTGTCCATTATTCACAGAATCAAAATACTGGACAAATTCTGTAAAAAACTATGCCTGGATTCGTAACCACATTGTGGTAAGTTATCATTATGACATATTAATTTCTGAAAGTTTGTTAACCATAGTCGATAGTATCAGTAGGCAAAATATAAATTTATAAATGATAAATAACTAGCTCACTTCTTGTTGTAATGAAAGTAAAGAGATCTTTTACTCAATGAGTGTGTGGTTATTTCCTAAAGCTTTATTCCTAAGTAGAGAACCTTATAGATTTTTGACATCCTTTCATGTATTAACTATTATATGAAATTAAAAGTATTACTCATTAAATTGCTTTGATTATAAACATGTTTGCAAGCAGTTTTCAAACACGTTTTTTCTATACTGTTACAGTATTTACAATCATTTTTCATTGATGACAAGCATTTTTTTTTTCAAACTTTTTTGAAACATCACTTTTCCCAGGCACCAATTTCAGAAGAATTTATTTTTCGAGCTTGTATGCTGCCCTTACTTGTGCCTTGCTTGGGACCTGTGTTATCTGTGTTTCTGTGTCCATTATTCTTTGGAGTCGGTAAGTGAATGATAATTTATGTAACTTTTGTGTGCATGTTTTGTTTGTACATTTTAAATTCACAGGTCATGCCGACTGCTCTAGCCATAACGCCTTAAATCTTAAAGGCCTGAGATCCCCATCCACTTCCACAGTCCAGAAAGTGGTAAACTAAAACACAGTGTCCACTTACAAAAAAACTGCGTGTCACACAGAAATAACAATAAATAATGAAGTTATTTGAAAATTTAACACATTGTTAATGTTTAGGCTGCATAGTAAACAACAATGGAGATCAACAGAGGTCAAAAGGAGGATGGCCATAGCAATGCAAAGATTAAACAGCATTGAAAGTCTGTGGTTAAGAATCAGCAAGGAAATCATCTTCAGAACATTTAGAGCATGCATCTTTTCTATAGCAACATACAGATGTGAGTCATGGATTATCTCATAGTCCTTAAGGAAGAAAATGGTGGCTTTGAAATCCTATACAAAGATTATCAGAATACCATGGACAAAGAAGAGAAGAAATACTGACATTCTAAAAGATCTGAACATCAAGAAAGTTTGGTTAGTAAGCAGAATTTTTTCTTAGAAACTAAAATATTGTGGCCATATTGAGTCATGGTGGTTTGGGGAAATTAATAGCAGACGGCGTGGTACCAGGAAAGAGGGACAGAGCCGAGCAGCACAAAGCTGGGCACAGGATATAAGTGACACCTTGGATAAGGAAGTGAATGAGGCAGGAGAGCTGACAAGAGACCCAGTTTCTTTCAGGCAGACAATAATGATAAGGTGATATTCTGCACAGGACCTGCTACGTGATGATGATGTGACAACCTTAAGGTCATTCTGTAATAGTTTTAAAAAGAATGGTGCTAAAATGCATGTTTTTTGTGTGTGGAGAATTCTTAGTTAGCGAACCAGTCTTTGATGTTTTGTTTCAGATTACTCATTTCTTTTTCTTTTCTGTGTTTCATGCTGTTTGGAGTGTTTTTCTTTGCTAAGGAAAAAGATTTGCTTGCCCAGCAGTCTTGAAATAAATTGGTCTGCATCAGGGGACAATCTACAATCTGTGGTCATGTCATGAGAATGATCAAACTGGAGACACTGAGAATGATGGAGCGGAAAGAAGCAGAGGGAGACAGAGAGAGAAGTTGCTGGACAGTTTGACATCATGGCCTGGAAGAATATCTTTGTCACAGTTGATTGAAAGTACCTGAGACAGAAGGTTGTGGATAAATTTGACTGCCAAAACCTCTTGGCATAGGCTATAAGAAGAAGCCCCAGCAGTCGTCCTATAATGAGTGGGGTGTTTGAAAAACCTCCAGTCTTGCTAAGGATTATCTACACTTCTAACAATGTAAGAAGCACATATTCTTTTCCTTCGGTCAACCACTCTCCATTTATATCATAAAGGCATACAAATCCAGCTATTTTTCAACATCAGCAATTTTCAACATCTAGGCTGTATAATGTTTCATGAAATCATTATTTATTTACTTCAGTACCAAATGACATGTCATGTGTTTATTTTCATTTATAAAATGCTTGTATTAACTTTCTTTGCTTCATCCAATAGTTTCTTGAGCCCACTCTATCGCATTTGTTTATTAACTGCATCACTGCACTCGTGACATGGTAAAACTCACGAAGTCGGGCCCAGAAGGAGAGTGTCTTCCCTTCCCATTTATTAATCACTTTGTAGCAGGGCTTGTCCTGTGTTGCAGAACATCACCGGCGGGCGATATTGCGTGTTCTATATCTTACACGATGTGAGTGCTTTTAACGGTCCCAACACACGCAGAACCTCAACTTCCCCCTACATCCCACGAGAAAGTGCAGCCTAGTCCTATGAGAGAGTGCAGACTTTATCCCACGACTGCATACAGCTTATAATATACGCTGCATACAGTCATGCCACCTAGACTGCGTGTAGTCATGGGATGTAGGCTGCACTGTCTTGTGGAACATACAGGGTTGGAGTTAGGGCCAGTTCTGCATGTTTTGGGACCATTTAAAGTGCTCACATCATGGAATATAGAACATCCTGTATCGCCAGCCGGTGACAAGAAGGTGAAAAATGCAACGGGTTAGTGGCCGGTCACTAAGCATGACACCCCAACATAGGACAAGCCCTGCGACATGGTGATTCATGAATTGGAAGGGAAATCACTCTATTTCTGGGTGCGACTTTGTGAGTTGAACCCGGGACATACCCACACCTGCTCTGTCCCCTTCTTCAGTAGTCAGCTAAGAGTTGACCTGCTAATAGTACAAGTTTCAACCTGATTAAATGTCTGCCTATGTTACTTAACTATTCCTGTCATATGATATTATTATTTAACGTCTTTTAACCCAATCATTTTATAATTTAAAACAACCACTTGTTAACCCAAATCCAGTTAAACTATGGCTGTCAGGACTGAAAGAGTTAAAGAAATCATATTGTTGAAATGAATTGACTGTAATTACTTGCATCATTTCGATTACATTTTTTAAAATTTTGTTTTCGATAGCACATTTTCATCATATGATTGAGAAAGTGGCCCATGGACAGCAAGCAGTTGGGGAGGCATTTGCACAGTCGTGTAAGTCATTGTCTCAGTGTGTCTGAAGTTATAGCATTCCTAGATGTTTGAGCATCAGCCTCTTTATTAGATCATCCTTGTTGTCGTCTTCGTCATCATCTTCATCATCATCATCATGTGCCATGTCAATAATCCCACCCCATCTGTATGGTTTAGCCATCCAGGTATTTATCTCATTGCCTTTCTCTTGCTGTCTATCTATCAGTCTTGCCAGTCACTACCAATCTGGCAAGTCCATTCCTTCTTATACATAGCCTATATGAGAAACACTGTATTTAATGTTTTTAATCACTTTATGGCATTTATCTATCTTGAGAAGGACCGCCTTGTTCTATACTAGATCCATGTTTCTATATCTATCTTTGACTTTCTGCTGCTGGTGTCTAGTAAGTTTGATGTTATCACACACTATGGACATGTACTGTAGTGTTTGTTAGTTTTCTCCACTTGTTAGAAGCATTTTTTAGTTCAAGCCAGCTTTTACACATCTGGCGAGCATTTTGTCAGAAGATGGAAGAATGAATAAAGAAATCCAACAGAGATGCAGTAAAGCCAGTCAAGTTTTAGACCAAATAGCACCAATTTTGATTTGCAACATGTGAATAAGAATACTAAAAGAACACTGTTCAACACAGTATTCTTACCAAAGCTAAGCTATCAATGTCAAACATGAGCGCTGTCTTCAGAACAGGGAAAATAGTCAAGACAGAAATGAGATTTTACATACTGTGCTAAGTGAAATGAGGAAAGATCAACTTAGGAATGATGATATCAGAAGGAGAGCGGCACAGAACCAATACTGAAACTTTGTAGGTAGGCAACAAGCCAAATGGTTTGGCCGTCCAACAAGATTTGCAAAAGACAGGGCACCACAGAGAGCAGTGTTATACAGATACAGTGGTAACTGAGCCAAACTTGACCACACAGAAGATGGACCACAGAAACATCAGAGACACTGAAAAGTACTCTGTACGAAGTGAAAAGAAGGACCCTTTACAGAGATCTCTTCCTACCCAGATGCCATGAGGCATTCCAGGAGTAGAGAAATGAAGAAGAAGGAGAAGTCGTGTATATTAGTTTTTGGTTTGCTTGCTGCAAGCAACATTGGACCTATCTAACTGCTTAACAAACTTCACATTCCTCAGTCGTATATATAGTACTTCTGATCATGATGGAGTATTATTCCTAACTATTTCTTATGTTTTAAACATTTGTGATCTAAAGCAGGAAAGGCTGTATGTCCTTGGTCTGTTGTAGTTTGGCAGTGGAGCAAATACTGACTTTTATTAGAATTGGAGAATTTGAATTCAGCAGGATATGTCACCTCACCTTGAAGATAAATAATGCTTTTCACAGAGAGAATTAAATGTTATCTCTTCAGAAAAGTAATCAATTTAAGTAAAGTGTTGAATTTCAGAGAGGTCATCAAAGGAGAGGATTGACTGATTCATTCATTCACACAGAATGTCAGTGACTAGCGCTACCCATAAAGCAGTGGATATGATTCAGTTCTTCACTACAGTGCTTAATGGCAACATTAAAATATTATGACCTCCCTCTACCCCTGTTCCTTAACATTACTCCTAATCGCCATTATGACCTAGGGTACAGTAGGCATAAGGGACTCTGCCATGGATAGTTATTCTATAAAGGGCTCCACAGGTCACATTAGCTGGGAACTGATAGCCTGACAGCAGTAAATGACCGGTTTTTTTAAAACCAATAACGCATAGGGAATATGATGAGTTATAAGTTATTATTTAGTTATCTTCACGGCACTCCGGACATGACCATCGGTGCCCAGATTCACCTGCGGTTGATAGTCTCAGTCCTGTGTTGGTTGACAAAACTTCTTGTGCATCTGGTATGCTTCTCATGCCTAGCTGTGCTGGTCTTTACTCTCAATCCTTGTACTTTTAGCAAAGATATGGATGTGCTGCTTCCAGAATCCTTTGATCATCCTACCTCTCTGATAGTATGAAGAATGTCTGCATGATCCATGAAATGTGATGTTAAGACTTGTGAACCATAAGCCTTGTGGGGGCCGTGGTCAGCATCACACTGGCCCCTTTACTTTACAGGACCTTTACTTTATATTTATCTTTATGTATTTTCCATACAACACAACACTGATTAGCTATTAGTTAATATGACTCTCACATTACTGATTCATTCACCTCATTCTATATTTTTAATGTTCAAGTTTGCCTTGCTTGTATTTCCAGTGTTCCAGCTGTCTTATACCACAGTTTTTGGTGCCTATTCAGCCTTTCTATTTTTAAGAACAGGTTAGTTATGATATCTGTAGGTGAAATATGTAATGTGTCTGACAGTGATTGCCAGTTGCATGGTAAACAATGAGACAATGATTCATGTTTAATTTTAAACAAGAAGGGAAAAATTAAAAAAAGGGCACATGCCTGTGTTGGGGAGCTGCCGTGGTGTAGCGGCTATACGCTCGCCTGCAGATCTGAAGGTCATGGGTTTAAGTCCGGACGAAGCCAGACTTTCTTTCAGCAATGACCTTAGCTCCCATTTCGACCTAGTCTTTAAATGGGTGCCAGGTAAGATCCTGGGAACTAAACGCTACCAGCATGATGCAGACCACATCACCCACTGAGTGCTGATTGGTTCATAAAATATAGGTCTATTCCTAAATGTCCAGTGCACTCGAAAGCATGAAAAAGGTTTCGTTACTTATTTTTACTTATATATCATACATCAGCGGTTCTCAACCTGCCAGTCACGACCCTTTTTTGGGTCGAAAAAGCCATAGGAAAATACATATTAATTAAGGTTATGAAAGAAAAAACTTGGTTGGTAGTTGCCACAATATGAGGAAACTATGAAAGGGTCACAGCATTAGGAAGGTTAAGAGCCACTGATATACATGGTGTATTTATGCCTTGGACATACAGCTGCGATGCTAGTGGGGTTTAAATTAGCAGCGAGGTTAGATTAGACAAATGAAAAAGAAGAATGGAATAGAAGTTCAGAAATGTATACTTTGTGGATACCGTCAGGTGCATTGGCAGGGGGAGGTTGTTTCTTGGTACTATACGAGTTACCCGTATTTTGTTTATTCTTTCTCTGCATATTTGTTAGTAGTTGAATTTTCTTTTACCTTTTTAATTAAAAAAAACAAACACATTTCTTGATAGATTGGTAATTACTTATAAGAAAATAAATAAATACATAATTTTTTTTTTTACAATGCTTATAAATTAGTGCATTTCCTAATTTATTATATTTCCCCCTTTTTTTTTCAAACACAGGACATTTGATGGCACCAGTTATTGCTCATGCATTCTGCAACCACATGGGCTTCCCTTCATTTGGGGAAGTGATGGGGTACAGCTCGTCCACAAGGCTCAAGCTGTCCATCATGTTTGTTCTCGGCTTGGTGGCATGGCTGGGGCTTCTGTTTCCTCTGACATCACCTTGGCTGTATTCTAATGATGTGTACAGTATATGAGCTGCATGCATTCTACAGTGGAAGTAGAGAGGGTGTAGATAATCCTAGGCACCATGCCATTGTCACCAAAATGCTGAAGCTTTGTTTCTAAATAATCATGTTTGGGTCTTTGAAGAATTGTGTTAAGAAAAAAAAATGCTATTGCTACTTGTATTTAGCACTTTTGCGGGTGGGTGATGAGGGTGGTGGTGGTTGGGCTTGGGGATTTAGGGCCGCATGGCTAGGGCACAAGTTTAGATTGAATCCCCACCACCAACACAAAATACCAGTAACCTTACTGAAAAATTCTAACCTGGGTGTCCTGCATGAGAGTTGGCAGCCGCTCCTTATTTTCACTCGACTGGAGTAGAAATTTACCTGTGTGCCTTAGGCATGACAAATTAAATTTAGTTGCCTATCCTTTAGATGGCTTTGCAGAAGCAGCGCGGGCATTTTCTCGCTGTTTGATTTCCTTAGGCAGTTTTACATTCAGTTGTTTGCCATTGCTTACTAAATGGTCAGCTATAGATACCCTTGTTGAAACAGTCTGCTGCCAAATTGTCTGCAGCTGGAATAGAACCCAGCACCTCATCATTCACAACGGCTTAGCTACAGACCAACAAATTAGTGACAAATTCCAGTTCTGAAAATGCACCTAAATTAAAGAAGCTTAGGTGACTTTGGCATATTGCCTTGGTTATGTAGGCTGTTGGTGTTGAGTAAATCTTTAATCTTCATGAACTGCCAAAAATTTATACTCTTGAGTGTCTTGGTTTGTCGCAACTATAGCAATTAGATTCAGACATTTTATTAAATGAACAGTATTACCAACGTTGTTTGGTGAATATGCCATTACATTTTTATATTGCTGTTTTCTTTCATTGATTTCATTTACCTATTATCGTTTCATTGTTTGCATATAAACTGTTAATTATACAATTATACTTAAAATGTTGTTTTTAAAATGTATGGACTAGCTTTCTACACTTATACGACTTTTTTTTTCTTAAAAAGAAAAAACATATGTAAGCAATCATCTGTTGCCATTGTTTTAATGTACATAGTTTTTGTTTGTTGAAATTGAAAATTGTAAAAAGCAAAAACAGTAAACGACAATTTTTATGTGAGAGGTGCCATTGAGGATATGTTGCTGAAGCAATCTGTTGCTGTTGCAATCTGTGATGCCGAAATAATTTTTATAGACCAAATAGCACTTGATGAATGATGTGGTTAACATCACTCTGGCTGCCTTTACTTCACAGAACAGTAAGTACCTGGTAGCCATTTTTAGAGTGAGTCAGTCTGGATCCGAGGTCAGTTTTGGGGGAGTTGGAGAATCCTGGCTCAGTGTGTATTGGAATCCAAGACCTTTAGCTCAGCAGGTGTGTGTTTAGCCACCCTACCACACTCCTAAAACCACTTGATAATTAAAAGTGTTTATGTAGAACATCAGCTGACAGTAGCATGTGATTTCTCAGAAAAATGCAGATGCATGGACTAAATAAATAAATAAGGCCTTCTTTCAAGAGACACATACAAAGTTTAAATTGATATTTTTACCCAAAAAAAAATTGTGGACAGTGAAGTTTTTTTTTTTTTTTTTAAAACAAGCTTTTTTAAGATTTGGTTTTGTGTATATGTCTGATGTTTCTCTGGGCAGGGCTTTGCAATAGATTTTATTTTAGTAGCCTGTTAAGAGAAAAATTAACTAGAAAACATAAGTAGCAACTGTTAAGATTTATTGGGAAAAGTGTGAAGGGAAGAAATAGATAACAATTTAGTTATCTTGGTTAAATAACTCAAAATCAAGAAAGGTAATCTTGTCAAGATCGCAAATCATGACTGGCTACATTATAATGATTAAAATATATTTATATAAACCAGATTTAATTGCTTGGATTCACCTGTGATAGTAAAAAATAGTTGTATCTACTTTTCTATACCTTATCTTGGTTTCCACCGCTGCCCTGTATGTAGACCTAGTGAAATAGGTGTCTAACTGAAACCCTATATTTAATATCCCATCATCCACTTCATTTTTATCTTCACCTCTGCAGTATGTATAATCATTGCCCCTAAGAGCACCAGAGGCATTACCTGTAATACTAACACCAGTATTTAAGAGTTTAGGTGACAGACAAATGTATATTGTCTCAGACATGTACAGATATGTGGTTTCAAGGAAGATAACAGTGAAAGAAGAAAAAAAAAACTTACTTTAACAAGGGAAGTAATAGGAAAACTTCTTTCATAGAAATATAACTCTAGCAAAGTTTACATTTACTGATTGTCACAATAAATAAAGAAATGTACAATAGCCTTTCCGCCAATGTGACTGTTAAGTTAAACATTATAGTCATAATGGTAAATTAAAATGTAACCCATGTATTAATCATGGTTTGGGATGGAGTTACCACTTGATTCATAATAAACACACAAAGTATTACATAGGGTTTGTGATTTATGGTATAGATATAATTTGTTTTACATATTCTGTTCTTTCTTTTCATATCCCTAGTCATCTCCTTGTGGGATGCAATTTTTTGCTATTTTGATGCCTACCCTGGCTCTTACCAGGGGCCGCCATGTAGTCCGGCCATAAATATGGTTTAATGGCTGAAGGCGGTTTTTGGGATCTCTCCGGGGGTGATTCTCATCTACATGGTGGCACTATGTGTCACCCGGTGTTTATCACTTTTGTGATATCCTGGGGGGTAAAAGTTACTTACTTACTTACTTCTGTTCTTTACCTGTTAACCTTCTTCTTCTTCAGCATTCTAAAACCTTGAGCTTCACTGCTGGAGATATCACTCACTGCTGCAGATATGACCTGTCTTCACTTGTCTCTCTGGTTGGCCATCTGTTTCGATTTGGTGACATCAAGTGTTTGCAGGTCTATTTGGGATTTATCTCTCCATCATCTTCTTGGTCTGCCTTGTGGTCTACAACTAGTCATTTCCCTTGTGTATTCTTTAATGTTCCAGTTTCGCTGTCCATCTAAATCCATTTAAAATCGAGGCTTAGATATCTGTTTCATGATGAAATGAAGTTTTATGGAGGTGGGTGTGTCGGCCCCTTGCTTCAACCCCCAACCTGGAGGACCAGAGTGCCTCTCTTTATTCTCTACCCTTCGGCGTTTCCGGCTTGGGAGCCCTGCTGGTAGCTGTGCTACTACCCACATAGCTTTCAGGGTCAGTTAGAATTATCTGTTGATCCCACAACTATTATTTGTACCTTAGATGAAAGGCAGAAGAGAGAGAATATTGTGTGTGTGCACACCCCCAGTTGCACACGTACATAGTAGATGTATTTATGCATACTGTGTTTGTGCATGTGTAATGTAAATATCATTTTGTGTGTGTGTGTGTTAATCAATTAAGATTGTCAAATACAGTGACTAGATTAGTCATGGAGTGCATAAAGTGGGGTTCTCTCAGAATATTCTACCCCAGATGACTTCACAGGCCAGTCCAACATTTTAGAGGGTAGTAAGACTGGGTTTCCTGGCTTTCTGATGCTTTTAACGACCCCAAAACATCTACAACTGGTCCTAACCCCAACCCACCTACATCCCACGACAGCATGCAGCCTAGGTCCAAAAATTGCATGCAGCCTATCTACTAACCCCTGAAATATTAGACTGTCCCGTGACCTGTGGAATTCCCCTGTTTGGGGTAGGATATTAAGTAAGCACCTAAAGTGGTAATCTGGAGTTGCTGCAGTTACCACAGACTCTCGAAAGGCTGTAATGTTTGCCTCAAATGTTTACAGACTACTCACTGCTGTATGTAACATGTGATCTATTTTTGGAGGCTGCCTTTACACCCAGAAAATATCCTAGCACCTGTTGTTAGGCTGATGCTACCATGGTCTAGCGGCTAGACACTTGCTTTACCCAAAGGTTGTAGGTTTCAAGGAAGATAACAGTGAAATAAAAACTAAAAATGAAGCTGGATATTTTTTTTTTTTAAACGATCTTGGCTCTCAGGTTGTAAAGTCAAATGGGTACCAGGTTAGGCCATGAGAAGTACTGGCGTCCAGCATAAGGTTCTCCATAATCTGTCAAGTGCCGACTGGTCTGTAAAATATAGGTCTAGCACTATTTGCTCATTATACCTTGAGGAGGGGGGGGGTGCGTGGTCTCAAGGTATGGTGTCCATCTCATGTGCTGGAGGTCCTAGGTTCAGGCCCCGGTGAGAGCTGGGATTTTTTCAGGTAGACTTGGACTTCTAGTAATTCCCCCTGGTCTCTGGGTAGTGAGATCAGACACCCATGTGTATTATTGCGCATGTAAAAAATCCCTTGGCCGTTGGAAATTGAAAAGAATAGCTGCATAGGCAAAATTTTGAGTTGAAAATATACCCAAAGTATTTCAAGATCCTCACCGGTGCTATGGAGCCCGTGCCTTGCGCGAGCTTCTTCGGACTCAGGATTGAGTTAGAAGAAGAACAGAGCACTTATGGGTTACTACCCTTGTGCCATGATGTTGATCAGTTGTTCAAATTCGGACTTCAAACTTCAGCACCTTGTAGCATGGAAAAAAAATCCTTAACCCTATATATATATATATTCACTCTAAGATGTTTTGAGCCTATAATCACAGCATTGAAAGCCAGATACGCTTGTCACTGCACCGCAGCACATCACATCATAAAACAAAAAAACATTCTTCTAGCATGACAGTGGAGATGGCAGCTGTTGTCACAGGGGCACTTTCATGGCTGGTGGAATAGAAAGCAACTCACATATTGATAATGACAGGCTCAGTGGGCATGCTTAAGAGATCAAAAGTGGTAAACTCCAACTATAATGGGTTGATAGCATCCAGAAGTCCAGTCTGAAGAACTATGGTGGCTGGATATGCTGGGGTGAAGGGAAATGATGGGGCTGACAGTCTGGCTGTGTCCGCATTGGTTAATGAATGGAGGGAGAAGTATAGGCAGGAAGACATACTGAATGCGTTAAATTCCGAGGCATTGAGCAAAGAGTCAGAGATGATGAACACTCCTTTGTAAGTGTGT